TCATGTCAGATAGTTGACCAAAAAGACCAGTTTATCTTCAGTGACCAAGATAGTAGGATTATTATGAGTGAATAATATACCCTACAATCATATCTGTCAGATGTAGAGAGGTAGTTTAGCACAGAGTTAATCTGTACAGCAGTGAATAGAAAGTGTTTTAGCTTTAACGTGTATTCTACATTGAATAAATGTGTGGAAAGATAGCTTATTAATCTTCTCTCTCTCACTCATAGTCTGACAGGCCAACCAGGATAGCATGAATTCAACAGAGCTAACACTGAAAGTTTAGTTTACTCTTAATCCTTCTTATTACACCCAGCCGGCACCATAGTTAATACCACTGTCCTCCTAGTTACCTAGGCCTATGTGCTAACAAGTCCTCTTTGATTCCTGGTTCTCCTTCCCCTCCAAATATCCAAGCTGAGACCAAATCAATTCACAGTATCTTCTTTATCCCTACTGCAGAATTAGTTGTACATGCCATAAATCCTGTCCTGGCTTAGCAAATAAACTTCTAAATGCTGATCTTCCTCATACCCACCTTGTAACTCGCCCTGCTTCTGTTCAGAATGACACAGCTAAAGGTCTACATATATGTTCATGAAACACTGGGCCTGTGTTGAGAGTGTGGGAATTTTATACCCATTTTATGGGTATACGCAGTAAAATTACAATTCTTGAATAATCCCAGAAACATACATGAAAATATCCCCTTTTGCTGGAGCTCTTAAGATAATTTTGGAAAGTTAGGAGTCTTCCCTGTACATGAACTCTGTAAATGACTGGTCCACAAATTACTCTGGCAAGTAATGTCCCTAGCTCTCATGGGACAACATGAAAGAATAAGCTCTCAGTTCTCTCCAGAATTTGTTAGAACTGTGCGACAGAATAAAGGTAAGCAACCACCACCCTCTGGCTACTGTCTGAAGTACTAATATTGTTCTAGAGAGAGTCGTGTTGTTTGTACACTTGCTGCACTTTAACTTTTTCTTATCTATCTTTTTAGATTTAATTGACATACTGTTGTTCTGCTTGTGGAATTAATAACAGGGATGTACTGGATTCATGGTTCAAACACCTGGGGAGGTGTTTGCTGGTGCAGAAATAAAGTCCACACTGACACTTCATTTGTCTTCATCATGAAAGAATTTTCACAAAAAAAAATCTGAATTAACATTTCAAAAGAGTAAAGAATAAAAACACTTTCACTAACCTCTGATGAGTTCATGATAAAATCATCAACTTAGTAAGGCAACATAGTGGCTATGATTTAGTTGTATGTGTTCATTCAGGGAAAACAAATTTCGTATTTTTTAGTCTCCTCTGGGACTGTACCAGTTCCTTTCTGAACCACTATGTTTTGTTTTTGTTATGAGGTGTGTATTTTTGTATGGACCAACCAAGAATTATATCAATCTTTTTTTTTTATTTTCCATAGTACTTGGTGTCTAGATAACTAACCAAACTGCAGAAGTGCAATCTTCCCTCATTAGCAAGAAAAAAAGTAAGTATTACTTTCACTTTTTTCACAAATTCATAATGCACAGTAGAGGCTAATGAGACAGTTACACACACAATCATTAAGTTAATAGCTAATGTTGCAGCCATTCTTCCTCCATTGTGACTATTTATATTATAGAAGATTTACCAAACATAGCTTGGGTCCTTAATTTTTTTTTTTTAAATAACATGAAAATGTCCATCCTTCATTTGAATCACTGCTCTGGGGAGGGGATGAGGATGAGGGGTTCAGTCTGCAGGCTGCCCCAACGACAAAGAGGACTAGCCCATTCCTCTCTCACTGCAACAGCTTAAGACCAGGTAAGAAGCACCTCTCTATGGCTGCTGAAGCTTCAGTGAACAGCCAGGGGAGGGGTGCATATCCCCTGGCTGGGTTAGGTCCAGGTTTGTCTGCCCCTTGTGTTCCTCATCCAAAGAGAGGAATACAACAAACTGTGCATTTTCCCCTTACTCCCTGACAAAGGGGAACAGTCAGCAGTGTTCCCATATCAATCGGGGAGGGGGACGGGCTTCAGCTCCCCCATCTTCCCTAAAAGGGACCTAGAGGGTGGGAGGCTTGGGTTGGGGGCACACTCTCAGACAGCTCCTTTCACATGCCTTTTTTTGTACGGTTTTATGAGAAACAATCCAATTCCAGGCACATGCCAGTTTCCTGGCACAATGAACCCCTTACCTTGCTTTTAACTTATGATAAAAGGAAACTACATGCTAAATTTGGTTGTCCTAGCTCTTACTTTTTAGGAGTTCTTGAAAAAGCAAACAGATGCACATTTCTAAAATATATAGTAGGATAAAAGCTGCCTTAGGATCTTCTGATCAGTGCCAGAAGAATATCTACAATGTTTTGTATATTAATTCACTGTTATGGTTGTTGATTAAAAATATATGTAATATACCGGTCTCTTTAGGTGTGGAAATATGTCTGTTTTTCTTGTTCTACTGAGAGACTGAAACAATGGCAATTAATATACAAGGAGCTATTATGAGTACTCCATAAAGCTACAACTCCTCATGAATACAAAATTTATTACAAATCTACAAAAATGATCTGCAGATACCCCCATGCAAATTTCCAGAAGGCAGGACTTAAAGTTATAAAGTGATCACAACAGAGACACCAATTTATTAGGCCTGTGACAATAGTCTCTAAGGTTATTGACAAAAGATACAAGGCCCAATATCTAGAAGTTGAAGTCAGCAGCATTCAAATAAAAAATAAGATGGTAAGAATAGCTAGCCATTGGAATACATTACCAAATGTCTTTAAATCAAGAGCGGATGTTTTTCTAAATGATATGCACTAGTTCTAACACAAGTTATTGGACTCAATGCTGCAATCTCTGGGTAAAGCCTATTGTGTTAGGGAGGTCAAAGAGATTATCATAATGATACTTTCTGAACTCAAAAACAATCTATGAATGTACATTATAGCTGCAAATAAAATCATAATGCATTGTGGTGTAGCTACCCTGCAGTGAGATTGTGAACTTCCCACCTCCAAACTAATTTAAATGTAATAGTATCTCATTCTACTTAGTTATTTTATAGGGGGAAACTTAGAAATGTGGTTCAACATTAATGGAACAAATGAATAGAAATGCAATAGATTTATTCCACATATTGCAGCAAGCCGAGAAAACATAATAAAACAAAGACCTCCTACAGGGCTGTTGGGCGAACTATTCCTCCTCTTTCTACTGCAGGAATTTTCCACATACTATGACATCCTAATCCGCTGAAGTCAATGGAAATATTGCCTTTGATTTAAAGAGAGACAGGATTTGTAATTGTTCTAATTAAAAACAAAGTAAACAAACAAAGACCTTTAAAATAAAATGCAATGGAGACAAAGCCCATGATATGCAGACTGGTGTCTCTCTCTGAATTTTATTTAAAAATACAGAGCCAGTGTATTTAATTTTGAAATTGCTATGCTGATTCATAAGCAGTTTCTCAGACTATTCCCTCAGAATATCACTGCTAAAGTAACATATACAGTGTGATAAACCTGTAATTCTTCCATTGACTTTGAATCATCCGTTAATGTCCTGTGGACCTATCTAAAGGTCATTGGAAGTGCTTCACTTCCAGCGACATTGCATCATGAATAATAAAGCATGTCATGTCCACTGAGTCAGTACATAATGCCAATGGATTTTTTTCCTCTTATTTGTGAGGTGAAAGTACCTCTAGCCTTGGCATTGACATCACAACTAATCCCAATGAGCTATTATTGTGTCAAATGAAGCACAGTTGTTGTATGTATGGAAGATCTTTTTCCCCCCTAAATGTTTATACACAGAATCCATTAAAATGTCAATAGATATGGCCTATGAGCTTAGAGTAGGCCTTTTTGTCTTGAAACTCTATAGGTACCATTATGATGTCAATAAATCCTTTCATCTACTCGGTGGCATTACAATATCACATCTGGTGTTAGTATTTTAATGGCGACTTGTTGTGAGGTCTATTTTAGTTTCATTTATACTGACATGAGACAGCCAACAAATACAAAACTAACCATTATAGTAGTTTTATCTCATTTAATCCCAAAATACCAAAGGATGTTCAGAGCTGTCATTAGTTCCTTTCATTGTCACTGAATATTACAGCACCAATAATATATAAGATCTTCATAACATGTTTTGAATGCACACAAAGGGAGTTAGAATGGAGTGGTACATTTAACTTTATAGTGCCTTAGTTCAAACAGAATGTATACCTTTAATGTATTATTTTAGCAGTGACTGTGTTATTGTTAACAGTAATACTCCACTTTCCTTAGAAGGCCTGCTGATGGGGGGGAGAGGGGCTGGGTGCCTTGCCCTTCCCAGGAGCACAGAGACCCGCCCTCCCCCCTTGCCCAGGGGCCTGGTGAGGCTGTCAATTCCCCTAGGAATTGATGTTTTCTATTACTGCACCTATTGCCTGGCATTAGCAAGAGAAAAACATAAAATTGCAAAGCATTTGTCTCTTTTTTAGCAGCAGGGATAATTAAATGGCAACGTAAAACTGTACTCATTTTTAACTGAATTTTAACATCATTTGCCATTTTCCACCAAAATCTTATCTTCTGCACGGAGGAGAGGGAGACGGAACAGCATGTCAGAAAGAAACAAGACACAAAGGATCAAAAATACAAATATCCAAACTCTCCTAGTGGTATGCTTGCAGCTAGGAAATTAGAGTGTGAACCTAAATGGCAGTGAGGATCCTCATCTTCCCACCCTGCATTCACCTTTCTGGAGAATGTCGACATGGCGATAAAACACCTGTGGCACCAGGTCCCAGAGCTTAGATCCATTGAGTCGCTCAGGCTACAGGTCTATAAAACTACAGTGTAGATATCTGAGCATAGGGCATAGAGCCGAGGGCCTGAGACCCTTCCCCTAGCAGGGTCTCACCTGTTCAAGAGCACCATTTTGGACACATGGTGGGGAGGGAGCAGCAGTCGTGCGCTCAGGGACACGGCTAGCTTTTCACCCCATTCCTCGGACACTAAGGGTGTGTCTAGACTACATGCCTCCTTCGATGGAGGCATGTAGATTAGCCAGATCGGCAGAGGGAAATGAAGCCGCGATTAAAATAAGCGACTGCATAAGTGTGTAATATAGGAGGGTGCTAATTTTAAGCATTTCCTATGTGAGCTCAGTGTCCTGTTATCTTTTTAGGTGGAGTATCCCATGACCCTTGTGCCCCTGTGGTAACTAGGCCTGTTCCTCAAATTTTCTTCTCATTCTCACATGAGCAACTCCACTGCTGCATTGATGCAACTGAAGGCAGAATCATAAAATATAGGACTGATGGGACCTTGAGAGGTCATCAAGTCCAGTACCCTACAGTCTTGGCAGGACCAAGCTCCATCTAGATCAGCTTTTACTGATGTTTGTGGAATCTCAATCTTTGGAGAGTTTTGAGAGCAGGTTAATTAACCTTCCTTTACATGCCTCCGTCGAAGGAGGCATGTAGTCTAGACATACCCCAGGGGAGTGAGAAGAAAGTGCTTGCATTCCGTGCATGCCTCTCACGCCTGGCTGGTGAAGGGAGCTTACCAGCTAGATTTGAGAGGAATGCACGGGAAGCAAGCACTTTCCCCTTACTCCCTTAGCATCCGAAGAATGGGATGAAAAGCTAGCCATGTCCCTGAGTGCTTGGCTGCTGCTACCCCCTCCCTCCATGTGCCCGAAATGGCGCCCTTGAACAGGTGAGACCCTGCTAGGGGAAGGGTCTCAGGCCCTTGGCTCCATGCCCTATGCTCAAATATCTACACCATAGTTTTATAGTCCTGTAGCCTGAGCGACTCAATGGATCTAAGCTCTGGGACCTGGTGCCTCAGGTGTTTTGTCGCCATATCGACATTCTCCAGAAAGGTGAGTGCAGGGTGGGAAGATGAGAATCCTCACTGCCATTAAGGTTCACACTCTAAGTTTCTGGCTGCAAGCATACCACTAGGAGAGTTTGGATACTGACACTGACACTCTTTGCTTCATCCAGTTGGGGCTGCATTTCCTCCCCTCCATAACCTGTTTCTGCAGTGGAGAGGGAATTGAACAATTACTAATCTAAGACCCAGTCAAATGCTTCTAAGGAAAGTCAGGACATTCATGAATGGTCCCTGCTTAAAAATGAATTCTGCCTCAGAGCTTCCCCAGGGGCCCGAAGATGCTGTTGACCCCTCTATTCACTCACAAGTCAGCTGGGCCAGCCATGGCTATATTGCAGACCTTTTATTGTAGTGCAGATGTCCCCTAAGTTCTCTATAGGTCTGAGGCCTTCAGGAGGTTAGAAAGGTCTGTAACCATTACAGACATGGCACTTATGTGAGACCTGCCACTGAGGTCTGTGGAAGCACTCACATGACTAATGCCACCCTGCGTACATAGGGTTGCAGGAGAAAAAAATGTTGAGGGAGTACTGCAGCTCTAAAATTATCCACTTCTCTGACAGTTCAGAGACTAACAGAAGACAGTTTACAGGGAGGTA